CCTGAGAACTGTCTGCCCGGGGTGGGGGTCGGGTCCCTTTAAGCGCAGCCCTCGGCTAGCCTGAGAAAGCATCTCCACGCTCTAAGTCCTCCTCTGATGCCCTGCCGGCACTGCTTCTGGCCAGCCTTAACCTCGGTTCAGGGTCCACTCGTGAGGACATGCTAGTTCGAATTAGCAAAACGCTAATTCGAACTAGTTTTTTAGTCTAGATCCGTTAGTTCGAATTAGCTTAGTTCAAATTAACTAATTCAAACTAAGTTAGTTTGAATTAATGTTGTAGTGTAGACGTATCCTAGAAGATGTACCTGGCGTTGCCCAGGTCCTTCAGGGCAGCGGGCTTGTGGTGTGGGGGTTGCAGGAGTAACATCAGGGCCTTGAGGATATGCGGGGTGGGGGTCGGGCAGGGCAAGAGACTGGAGGTGGGGGGGTGTGCAAAAGTGAGGATTGGGGGGTGAGGATGGATTCAGGATGGGGCATCCCAATTTGTGGGGCCTTCCCCCCCAGCCATTGGCCTGGCCACCAGGGGTCTTCTCTGTCCCCAGCACCTCTCTCAGCCTCCAGGGACCTTCTCTCATCCTTCCCCTCTGGCACTGCAGTCAACGGCCCAGGGCAGGGAAGGGTTTAGGGCTGGGAGGCTACTTACCCGGTCTGTTGGTGTGCCGGATGGCAGAGCCCCAGATCTGCGGGCAACACTCCCTTGGTTATGAAGCTGCCCCTAGGGGCCACTCTCAGTATTGTGTCCCTTCTCTCTGTGCCCCTCCCTTTCCATGTTATGAAAAACAGTCCCATTCCTGGCACTTTCCATTTTCTTGGAACAATTAAAGTCTGACCTTTCTTTAAGTTAGGATAAGAGGAAGATGCATACTACATTTAGTGGTCCTAGTTCTTATAGTTTCAGAGGAGTTCTTGAGCAAATGGACTTGCAAACAGACAGACTCACAGACAGTGTCAAATGTATAATATATAGATGATGTAATGCTTACATCTGCATAAAAAGAAGTTAAGCTATGGCAAATTTACATACTCCTTAAGTACTTGATTTTATGTCAGACCTTTGTCCCTTTGAAATCAATGGCTAAACAGTCCAAGTTGTATGTATTAGAAATGTGACAGTCCTTTTTTTTTTTTCTACATTTCCAAGAGTATGTTGTGTTGACACCCTGTTGAGAATAAAAATACCTCCAAAACTTGTGGCCCATAAGGGGATGGCACTGAGCAGTTTCCCACAAATTAATTTTTTAAAATTACATTTTACAGTATAGTTGAATAATGTTTTTCATATGTTCTCTCATCTGATTTTCAGCGAAAGCAGATATCACCGGTCAAAACGTCTCCTACCTTAATTCACTCTGATTTATCAGCTGTTTATGCTACTGTAATTTTGAACAAGACAGTTTTGTTTTTGGGAACAAGAGATGGACAGTTACTGAAGGTTAGTGGAATGTGCAATTTTTCCCTCCTGATCAGTATGTTTTAATGAGTAAATGTTTTCTGAGTTCCATTTTATACATTGCATAGTAATCTAACATAATCACCTGGGCACTTCTGTATTCTGTTTTGTTTGCATTTTAAAGAAAAATTACTTTTGCTTTCCAAAACTTCAAATGAGTAATTATTGGGTTACAACCCACTGGTTTGTACACAGAGAACAAAATAATATCCACATGAGATTGTGTCCTTCTTAAAATCCACAGATATATTTCACTAATTAAATATTACCTACTGGTCTTAATTTATTGTTAGTATATGCTTATCAGTGGAGACAAAATACTGTTAGATTTCTCTAGTTGTTAAAAAACAGCTTTTTGGCGCAGTGTGGATATCTGTTCATTAGGAACTAACACCAGACTCATTTTGCCAAGACTGAGCAGTTGAACTTTACTTGTTTTGAATAACTTGTTTAGAAATGAAAGGCTTCCTATCTCACTATCAAACCCAGAAGGCAACTGTTTTTTTTATTTTACATTTTTTTTTCTAGAGTTCTGTAACAGTGCATTTCCTGTCTTGACTGCAAAAAATGATTTTTTTGTTTTTATTAAGCATACAGCTGGAGTAAAATAGAACATACCATGAAAAACTTTCCTATTTGATTCCAGTGTGCTGGGGACTAATTTTTGATGATTAAAATATGGAATGAAGGATTCCCTGTTTCTGTAGTTCATTGGTGACCATGAATGTGTCTCCGTTCCTTAGTCTTGTTTGTGGAAATAAGAAATAAAATTTAAGGCAAACTTTGTGCTGATGTTAGTTTTCTGATTAATATAAACATTTACATGTTTTTGGGTCCCCTACTCCTTTATCTTTTGTGAGAGGGGAGGTGTAGAAACCTGTGGATTTGGGTTGAATGAGGTATGGAAGGGGAATAGCATCCTCGCATCCACTTCAAAAGTGTAGAGCAAAACAACTTGTGTTATGGGAGACAGAGCCAACAATAACTTGTGTAGTTTCCTTTTCATGGTATGGAAACTCATCCCTCTTAGGGGAACATCTGAGAAGCAGTGGTCCATGGAGCTAACACAAGAGCTGTACTATCAAGGGCTTTAGGGTACATTTGAGTTTGGTTGCAATGTAGCAGCATGGAGCTTCTACCCAGGTAGTCTTTGCCTTTGCGAGTACCCATGGAGTTAGGGGGCTGACCATAAGGCAGGGTAGGGACCACTTTCCACTTTCTAAGAGAAGGAAAAGGCATAAGATCTGTCCACTTCAGTGGTCCACAAACTGTGTGATTGACCCCCTAGCAGCGTGTGGCAGAACCTTCAGGGTAGACACAGCAGGGACCAGGGAGTGAGTGCTCTAGTCCTGCCTCCTGATGCAGGCCTGACTCGTGGCTGAGACTACTTCCTGGCTTGGCTGCAGCTGTGCATGTGTCCCCAGTTGCCGACCCCACTTGCTCCCAGGCTGCAGCTGTCCTAGATATGGCAGCAGCTCTGGCCCCAGACTCAACCCCTTTACCCTTCTGTGCCCCACATTCACTGAAAGCCATGACCTGACTCCTGGGGGTGTGCCTGGACAGGGATCAGGTGGGGGCTGACATTAAAAGTTTGGGGACCAACGGGCTACCTCTTAGACCTTAGCTCATACTGTGGACCCCTGTATCCTTCCCTCTACCAATAGAAATTACTACACAGTTAACATAATATAGATCTCTATCTATTCTTCCTCCTTGTTTGATGTTAATGTCAGTTAGTGATAAAAAAAGTGATGAAAAAACTCATAAAAATTACAGTACTTATCCTATTTCAAGATTCAGATTCAGTACAAAATATATCCAGTTTCTGAGCTACAGAAGGTATGGTTCTTTTCCTCCAACTTTTTGCATTATGAGAACCAGACATATTTGTAAAGAAATCAGGTTACAAGAAGTCCTCTTAAGTGATCTAATGATGTAGCCACTGTCAGAGCATGGAAAGGATTTACGATGATGATAATATTAACTCTCTTCTTGTTAATCAAGGGGTTTCATGGCTAATTTTACATCTCATGATTTCAGGCTATTCTTAACAACAAAATGGAACCGAACTGCCCAGAGATTTTATATGAAATTGAAGGAGAAACTCCAGTTTTTCCCAAACTTATACTTGACCCACTGGATAGTGACTACATATATCTGACATCTGCTGATGAGGTTGGTACAGTACAAGATAAAATGATTAAATCATTAACTGCTATATCAAAGACTTTATTACAGGCAGTCCCCGGGTTACGTACAAGATAGGGACTGTAGGTTTGTTCTTAAGCAGAATTTGTATGTAAGTCGGAACTGGTACATATTGTAGGGGAAACTCTAGCCAAACATTTCTCCAGAGCTCAGTTTTATTCTCCCACACCTCACTTCCCTCAGTCCTTTATTCTCAAGCTGAGGTGTCTGCTGAGAAAAGCCGCTCCGCGTCTCCCTGGTCTGCTGGGGGGAAGCAGCTAGTGCGGGCTTGCCTCACCCCGTTTGTAAGTAGGGATCCAATGTAAGTCGGATCCATGTAACCCGGGGACTGCCTGTACATGTTCTGTCATTTTATAAGTAAAACTTTCATTTGAATTACAGTCAAACTTTGGAGGAGTAGCCATGTTAGTCCGTAACTTCAAAAACAAGTAGTCCCATTGTACTTTAGAGACTAACAAAAATATATATAGTATCACGAGCAAAACCCACTTCATTAGATGAGCTGGAGAGGGATAACAGGAACCCAGCAGTTAACCAAAGCTTGCCTGCATCACCCTAAGTTTGACTCTAGACCTGCAGAGTTAATAATAGGCTTGGTTCTACGTGCTGCTGAGTACTTTTTCTCTGATCCAAACAGGAACTTAAACCAATGCTTACTTTTATGTGGTCCCATTGCGGGAGTAGTCCCGATTAAAGTTAAAGCTCATTAAGTGTTTTTCTGGATTGAGACTTGAGTGTTTGGAACCAGTCAGGGTCGAATTCAAGCTGCGTAGGAGAAGACCTGCTGATGAACAGGTCTTGTGAACTCTGTGGGAACAAGTTTCTCTGAGCCAGAGGGCTTGTTCTCTATAATGTATAGAGATTGACAATAGCGTTTGCAGTCTATACTATTGAGTTATGTTAACTAGAGATACAGATGTGAAATCCTAGTCTTATTGAAGTCAGTGGCAAAACTCCCATTCATTTCAGTGGGGCAGGATTTCACCCATTACCTTAATGTCTTCCCTTAAGATAAAGTCTCTTCAGTACCAGTGAAAATCAGATTTTAGGATACAAATATATCTGAATTATTGCAAATTGTTATAAACACCCCTTGACTTTCAAGAATTAGAGACTCTTAAAGTGCAAAAAATTACTATTCTAAAGATCTACACCTATTTTTATAAGAAAAAGTTTGATCACTAATTTTGTTGGAAGAGCAAATTACTATAGAGAAACAATGGCTTTCAGAAATAACCACCTCTCCACAACCTTGCTTATGGGCTTAGCAAGATCATTCATAAAAGGAGACTTCTGATCTTGAATACAGACTTTTAAGTTCACTAGCAAGTTCCCCCTACTGATCTGAATTCCTGATTTTTCCCAGAGACCTTCTAATACTTTGGGTTATGTTATAAATATTTGGAAGAAGAGTTGATCAAGGGTTTAAGCAAAACTACCAAAAGCAAAACAATCTTAATGACTGCAATACAATTTATAAGCGAATATTTTAAATCAGGAAAATGCTTAGCATTTATAAATAATGTTCATAGGTTCATATTTTTCATTTATTTCATTTTGAAAAGATGTAATTTGAATATTAGAGATAAATTTTCAAATGTACACATATCCATAGTAATTTATTTTTGCACACTGAAATGTAATTTTGCCTTCATGTTTCATAATTTCATTCATTTGTACTAGTTTGCCTGTGCAATTACCCATACATACATGCAAATCTACTTGCATGAAAAGATGCATTTTTTGCATATGGTTTTTGTATGCACAGTCATTGTACCATTTAAATTTTTAAGAAATTCATCCTCTGCTAAACTGGAAGATTCATTAGAAACATATCCCTTTCTCAGAGGGGTAGCCATGTTAGCCTGTATTTGCAAAAACAAGCAGTTCTGTGGCACCTTGGAGACTAACCGATTTATCTGAGCATGAAGTTTCATGGGTAAATTCCACTTTATCAGATTATTAGAGTGGAAATTATAGAAGTAGGGGTATATATAAGGAATAAGTTGCTTTTGATACTGAAGCTAAACAAGTCCCGGTGGAAGTGGGCTGTTCATAGCATTTGGTGTGGAGATGTGAATATCCAGAGAGGGGAAATTCCCTTTCTGTTGCATATAATTTACTTTGCTACTCCAATATTTCTCCCACTTATCATGGAATGGGATGTTTCAGATGTTTGCACCTAATAGCTAGCTTTCAGAACTAAAATGTACCCTATTTTATGAGTTATCCAATGAGGAAACTCCATATATATCAACTGGATATCTATTTTTAAATACATCACTTAATTGCTGAATATTTTTAAAGGCAAAGGGGAGAGGGTCATGAAAACTCTGATTTGCCCTTTTGAGCAGAGTTAGTAAGGTTCAGTACAAGTTATTGCTTTCTGTATTTTTAGGTGAGAAGAATACCGGTTGCAAACTGCAATAAGTATGGTTCCTGTAAAGAGTGTTTGTCTGCAAAGGATCCACACTGTGGATGGTGTTATTTAAGGAAAAGGTATTGTCTGGTATTTTATACTTTCATACATAATTAAATGTTGACTTGTAATAATTCAGGGCTGTATTCAAAATTAACTTATGCCTGGTCTGCACAGGAATTTACATCAGTACAGCTCAAAGTTGAGAGACAAAGTTATGCCAACTCAACACCTCCCCTTTCTTGGTGTTGATGGTGCTAATGCAGGGGGTGGTCAATCGCCCACGTGTCCTGGGGCTGGGCCCGCGCATGTGTTATGTGCCCAGAGGCGAGGCCATGCGTCCCGGGGGCAGCGCCGCGTGCCTGGGGCCCGGGGCACCAAAATGGCTTGGGCCAGCCCTTCACCCATGCCCCTGGCAATGGGAGGAGACTTTGTATGCTTTCCTTTCTGTCCCTGGCCAGTCAGGGCTTCGGGGTGGGGGAGTGCGTGAAGTTTCCTCCCACCCTGCTAGGAGCACATGGTGCTTCTAAGCTCTGCACGCTCCTTGCAGGGTGGGGGTAGAGCGAAGGAAACTTCGCGCTGTTCCTCAGCCCCCAGACCCTGATTGGCCTGGGAGTGGAAGAGCACACACAGCCTCCTCCCACCCTGCCTGGAGCATGTGGTGCTTCTATGTGCTGCTCACTCCTCATAGGGCGGGGGCAGGGTGGAGGAAACTTTGCATGTTCCCCCACCCCTCAGGCCAATCAGGGCTTGGGGGGCGGGGGAGCGCGCAAAGTCTCCTCCTGCACTACCAGGAGCCGTGCGCTCCTGGCAGGGTGGAGGAAACTTCATGCGCTTCCCCAGGTCCTAATTGGTCTGGGGATCAGGGAGCAGAAGGGCCTCTGTGAGCCAGATCAATCTGCTTGGAAGGCTGGATGTGGCCCACAGAGGCCCTTTTGCCCACCCCTGTGCTAGTGTGACAGAAAAATTCTTTCTTCAACCTAGCAATTGCCTCTTAGGGAGGTGGATTACCTATGCCTACAGAACATCTTCCATCAACACAAGTAATATCTACAGTGAAATGCTAGAGTGGCTCAGATGCGGCAGTGTTGCTGTGCCACTGTTGTGTTTTAAATATAGACAAGCCGTAAGTGGCTCTTCAGATATATGGGGATTTTTTGAAGTCCTTCAGCTATGAATATGTGACATGTTTCCTGTCACATGAGAAGGGGCTCCAAGCCTTCCACAGGCTGGGCTAATCTCTTTACATTTAGAATCACCCAATGAAATGTATGTAGAATTGGTGAGAAGAGCAAATTCTTGTTTTGTTTTTATAATCATTTGTTGTATTAGATTGTGAACAGGTGTCCAAACACCCTCTTGTTAACGATAAACATATTTTGTATTTGACAATATAAATAAAGTCCTGGATCTCCTTCAGCAATTAGGGTTAATTGTATCAGAACTATTGCCTTATTCTCTTCTAGGTCACTAGAGAACATTTTCCTAAGTATCTCAGCCTCTCATTTTTGCTATAAGTTTTGTTACTTTATTAATTTATTTGAAGTTGCTTGGGAAGGTTTGACAGACTGCAGTAAATTTTGCATTGATGTTAACAGACTGTTGTAGAAAACCCACTTTTTTGGGTTGTTGTAGGCAGATATTGATGGAAAGTCATCTAGCAACTTTTAATTTGTTTGATCCATGTTGTCTTCTGCTGACCCAGAACAGATATTCCACCCAAACTATGTTGTTAATGGAGGACAGGTTCATTATTATGGAGGATAGATTGAACAATAGCTATTAGCTAAAATGCTCAGGGATGCCACTGCAGGCTCTCAGGGTCCCTAAATCTCTGACTGACAGAAGCTGTGAGTAGACAACAGGGAATGGATCACTCAACCTGTTATGTTTATTGCCCATGCAGCATACATATGGGACAAGACAGTCTCAGAAGATAGGGCACTAGCTGGACTATGAGTCTGACCCAGTTTGACACTTCCTATGGTTTTTTTATGTTCTTTTTTTAAGTTATGTTACCCTTGTTGAGCTTTTCAGGTTTTCTGTTTGAGAAGTTTATAAATGAGGACAGTTAGTCAGTAAATCTTTTGCATGTGAAGGGAGACCACCAAAGTTTCCATCTGTTGGAGAGAAAGAAAACCTGCATTTCAAAGGAACCAAATTACTGTAATATGCAACCTATGTGACACCCACACATTTTTCAGTATTAATAGATTTATTTTTGCAAATTGAGGGTGAAAGTGAATTTTTAGAAAGAGGTGGAGGCATTTTCCACAAGAAAACAATATACCCTGTAATTCATCTTTATCACGTGCCAGAAGAACAGTTGGTGTTGTCAGCAGATAAAAGGTATTATTATAACAAGGCAGAGTGCAGATTGTTTTGTGTACAATAATTTATCCTTATCTGCTTTTTTACCTAAGGATAAATGTTTATTTCTTTGATCCATTTTCTCTTTATTTGAATAAAATGTATTATATCCTGTTTTTAAAGGGATACAATTATCAGTATTGATTTAAATAATGGTGTTCTGATGTGAAAATGTGCACATCTTATCACATTTATATAATGTCGTTTTTGGTGGCGTTTTTTTTTTTTAACTTTTTCCTACTTTTCTTTAAATGAGGATGGGAGTATAAATTCCCATTTACAGTCTGTCAAAACAGAATTGGGCCTTTCATCTGGAACAGTACTTAATTTCCACATGTAAATCTGTTCTTAACTGAAGTATGTGAAAATGAATCTAATCGTGGCTGCTAATAGTTATACATTTCACGTAGGAAAAGAATACAACGTGCCATGTTAGTCTGGATCTGCAAAAACGACAAGGAGTCCTGTAGCACCTTATACTAACAGATGTATTGGAGCATAAGCTTTCGTGAGCAAAAGGAAGTGGGTCTTTGCTCACGGAAGCTTATGCTTCAATACATCTGTTGGTCTATAAGGTGCTACAGGACTCCTTGTTGCTTTCTTATTGAAGAACAACTTAATTTTCAAATATGCGGCATGCTTGCAGCTCCCATTGTCTTCCGTGAGAAATTAATAGATCAGCATCTTTGAAGTCAGGCCACATTTTTTTCAGAAAGGGATGTCCTTTTGCATCAGGAAACTAGCATTTTACTGCAAGACAATAAAGAGATACAGTACAGAAAACCAAAAACCCTCTTTGGTTAACACAGTGGTAAACTAGGAAAAGGTCCTTTATTGATTTAGTCGTACAGTAATGAATCTTTGCACTTAGCTACTCTGCTATATGAATGAAGTGATATGCATTGTGAAAAAGGATCTTCAAAGGAATAAATATTTTACTTGCTGGTAACAATGTGACAGATTTTCAGTTCTGCATCTATCGGTACACAAATTCATGCATTTCGCAAATCTCATTCTAAAATTAATTGCAAAAGTTTAAAATGGACCATACCCCCTAGAGTGTCAAATCTCCCACTTGCTCCCAGCCACTCCCAGTCTCTGCCTTCTAAACTCAGAATCATAGAACACTAGAACTGGAAGGGACCTCGAGAGGTCATTGAGTCCAGTCCCCTGCCCTCATGGCAGGACCCAATACTGTCTAGACCAGGCATGGCAAACTTAAAGCCTACTGAGGGACGCACAAACAAAAACTGATAGCTTTCAGGACAACCAAAGAAAATGTACTTCTATTAGAAAGTCATAATTATTTATTCTTATAGATTATGTTTTAGGTATATTTAGGTATATTTTTATAATATTTTTTCAGGTCTTGTTTTAATATAATACAATAATTTGTTGTGTAAAATTATTATTTGCCCATACAAAATAAATTTTAATTTAAATATACATTGAAGGTACTTTTTAATTTTTTATATGATACATAACTTGTTTTGTTGAAATAAAATAGAACAGACATCTGTGAAAATTTCAGATACTTTGTAAGTTTGAGACTTCACATAAACATAATATTCATACAATTGCAAAAAATTGACATATTGATATAAAATTAATGTACATTTTATGATTTTGTTTGGGAATAAATAAATAAAAAAAAACATTTTAACAAAATATCCCTCTCTGCTTCCCCAGAGCCCCCACCCTCCCTCTCTAACCCAATGTCTCATCCCTCCCCCAGAGCCAGGCACTCCCAGGCCCCCCTAACCTAATGTCTCCCCCTTCCCCCAGAGCCAGGCATTCCCAGCTCCCCCACACCCCCAACTGAATGCCTGGGTCCCAGAGCCACTGCCGCTACCACACATTTCTTCCTCAGGTGCGGGGGCAGCATGAGCACCGTGGCCGGCTGTGAGAACGTGCTGGGGCACCCAGTGCAAAGCAGCCCAGCCGACTGTAATCTGCCCTCGGCCACATGTTCTAAGCAGCCAGTGGGCCGTACTTTATTTGGGGGCCCCGGTGCCCCCCCCGCCACACATTTCTTCCTCGGGCGCTGGGGAGGCATGAGCACAGCAGCCAGCTGCGAGCAGGCACTTGATGCCTGTGCAGAGCAGCCTGGCCAGCCGTGAGCTGCACTCAGCCATGTGCTCCAAGCAGCCAGTGGGCCGTACTTTATTCTTTTATAAAATGTAGTGGCGGTCCACAAAAAATTTTGATTGAGCCTCATGTGGCCCCCCAGAGGCCTGTTTGACATGCCTGGTCTAGACCGTCCCTGATAGATGCCTATCCCTGATAGATGCCTATCCAGCCTGCTTTTAAATATCTCCAGAGATGGCGATTCCACAACCTCCCTAGGCAATTTATTCCAGTGTTTAACTGCTTTGAAGTTTTTCCTAATGTCCAACCTAAACCTCCCTTGTTGCAATTTAAGTCCATTGCTTCTTGTTCTATCATCAGAGGCCAAGGAGAACAATTTTTCTCCCTCCTCCTTGTGATACCCTTTTAGATACATGAAAACCACTATCATTTAACTATAATATCATATAACTGGTTCCCATCTTCCATTATATTAATGGAGAAGATGCAGGGGCTGGGATGAAGGTTGGGTGCAGAAGGGATTTTGGAGTAAGGGATGGGGTTGCAGGAGTGTTTGGGATTTGTCAGGGAGTTTGAGTGAAGGAGGGAGTTTTGACCTGGGGCAGGAGACTGGGTGAAGGAGGGGGTGCAGGATCTGGGAGGACTGTAGGAGGAAGCTCAAGGTCCAGGATAGGGATGTTAAAATGCATGTAATTTGCTAACCATGTACCCGCTGGAAATTTCAGTGGTTATACATGGGGTGGCAGCCGGCTCCCTGGGAGTCAGATTTGGGAACCATGTGTAACCATTTGGGTAACCGATACATTCATGCTAGCAGTGTTCAAAGAGCAGTTGCAGATGGTGGAGCACTACTTCTGGGCCCAAAAAATGAGCATTGGCAGGTGGGATTGCATCATACCACAGATATGGGATGATGAGCAGTGGCTGCAGAACTTTCAGATGCAAAAGGCCACGTTTCTGTATTTCAGTGCTAGGGATGTAAAAAAGGTTTTTAAAAAGTAACCATGTAACCATTAATAATGCTAGACTCGCTATGGGCTCTGTAGTATACTGCCGATCTCACAGTGCAGCCAGCTCCCCAGGAGTGGGGCCAGCATTCAAGAGTTGGCACATGCCTTGAGCAGAAGAGTTTAACTGTTATGGAAACTGATAAGCTGAGGCTCTGCAGTTAAACTCTTACATCCTTACTTGGTGCTGAGCTCTTCCCAGCCCAATAGTGCCAGGACACCAGAATGAGAGTTGCACCAATGGTAAGGAAGTGGTTGTGATCATGCTCTGGAAGCTTGCAGTTCCAGATTGCTATTGGTCAGTGAGAAATCATTTTGGAGTTGAAAAATCCACAATGAAGGCCATTGTTACGCATGTATGGGAGACCATTAATTGTTTCCTGCAGTGCAGAACTGTGGCTTTGGGAAATATGCAAGAACTAGTAGATGGGTTTGCAATGGTTGGGTTTACTCACTATGGTGGAATGATAAATGGAACACACATCCCTATATTATCTCCAGTCCACTGGGCTAGTAAGTACACCAAGAGAAAGGGCTAATTTCTAAGGTAAAGCAAGTGCTAGTGCAGTGTTCTTTGGCACATTGGCAGTTGGAGGTGTGCCATGGAGAACAACAGAATTCAAAATGGCTGCCTTTAAAAGGGCAGGTGATTTTTTTTCCTCAATAACTTTCCCCTCGACCCCTTTTATTTTATTTTTTTTCTCAACAAAAAAATCCTTGATGTTCCTCATAAAAAAAATTCTTGTTTGGTGTTCCTCGGTCTTAAAAAGTTTTAGAAACACTGTGCTAGTGGATCACCAGGACCACTTCACTGAAATCAATGCAGTCTGGTTAGGGAAGGTGCATCATGCTCTCATCTATGAGAACAGGAATTCTGAGAGAGCTGAATGTAGTGATAGTCTATCCAGACCAGCGGATTGCCGTTGGTGATGTGGAAATGCCAGTAGTTATTCTGGGGGACCTAGTCTACATCTTGTTCCCCTGTCTCACGAAGTGGCACACTGGCCACCTTTACAGTACCAAGGAAAGCTTTAACTACAGGCTCAGTGGGCACAGAATGACTATGGAATGTGTTTGATAGATTGAATGGTTTCGGTGTAGTTTTATTCGCTAGATTAGATTTCAGCTAGAATAAACCCCAGTAGTTAAAGCTGCATGTTGCATGATAGGGATAATATATGTGAAGCAAAGAGAAAAGCTACTACCAGGATGGAAGGGCAAGGTGGAGTAGCTGTCTGTTGGGATTGAACTGCCAGACTCCAGGGCTATTACAAGAGCCCAAAATAGGGCTATGGATTTGAGGGAGGATAAAGATCATTTTTACAGTTAGCCACATTGATATTCCCTCTTTCTGTCTTGAGGAAGTGTCTCTCTTCTGTAGTTTAAAGTATTTATTGTTTTAGTTTTTGCCTGTGGGCATCTATTTTGTTGTGTTTTCTGCAATATTGCTATGCCTGGGGCTTTCTCTTCCACTAGAAGTTGCATTGTGCTTGCTGCACATTTATACATATGGCTGAGTGTTTTCCTACCACTCTGAATTCTGGAGGGTATGATGTACATTTTTAAGTACTGTTTGGTTTCTTGATTGCCACTATGTATTCTATAATATTTGGTGTGAAGTAATAAAGATACTGTGATTCTTCTACAAACAGAACTTTACTAAGTGAGCTGTCAAATGTGTTTGTAAAGGTAGGCAGCTAGGAGAGGGCATTTCAGAAACTTGGGGTTTTGTTAGAAGAGGGAAAAGAGGCAGACTGCTGAGCTTTCACCACGGGAAAAGGAATTTAAAATTGTGAGAAGAGGAGTCACTGTCACAGGGACTGGGGAACTGTGGGACAGTATTTGGAGGACTCTTAGGCTATGTCTACATTACTGAGTAAAATTGAATTAAAATACACAACTTCAGTTCCGTTAATTACATTTCCTATAAAATTAACTTTCTGCTTAGTACTGTGCATGAGCATTAAAGGCCACCTTTATGGCAGAGAAAGACACATTATCCAGGACTTGAAACAAACAGAATTTAGGAAATATAATTTCTTGTTTTTGCCATGTAGGTGTTAGAATTTCCTTATTTAAATCACAGAAACTTAATATTCTGATAGTCCGTAGTATAGATCCAAACATCTTTGCCCTTGATATCATTAAATAAATTCAGTTTTACTGATCCCGGTCTTGCTTTCTATTAATATTAACTTGCTGAAGTTAGTCTGTCTCCCTATTTATAACCTAACCTGCAAGATAAGCTAGATATAGAGCTTTGTATTCCTTATTTCTGTAACACTGAGTACATTTGATTAAACTAGGGAGGTGAATATTGTTTTAAAAGTTAACCATTTAAATGATTTAAAATATTTTATTTAAATGGTTAACTGATTACATGGAGTGGGGCTAGGGCCATTCTGGGCGGTTGGGGCTGGGCTGATAAAGGCTGGAGCCACTTGGGCTGACTGTGGCCGGAGGGGCCAGTCAACATGGGGGTTGACAGTTAATGCGAGTTAACTGCTAACCTTAATGCTTACTGGTTCACATTTTACATCCCTAGAGCAAGCTTTTCATTCAGTAGGTCTAATACTACTTTTATGTGATCCCACTGAAGTTAGTGTACATGAGAGCTGAGTTTGTCCCATTTAGTTCAAGTCAAGCCTAGTCAACCACATTGTTAATTTCTTGCAGTAAGGTTAGAATCTGATCATTGTCTGTGAAGGCCTCAAGCAGATTCTGGTGCAACAGGATTTAAAATTCCTGTGTTAGAGCACATAGAAAGTGGCCTCTTGCTTCACTCTCTTTATATTGTTGGCATCTTGAGAGACATTGTGGTCATTTTTTTAAAAGCCTTCTATGTGCTTTTCCTTTTAGGATATTGAGTATTTATTTAAACATACTTTTATATAGTTCATCCTGAAAAATCCCATCAAGTTCTCTGTTAGGATCCGTTATTTGAGAAATTTATTAATTAAAGCCCCAGTTCTGCAAGCATGCTTAGTTGTAGGTACGTGAGCAGTTCCATTTAAGGGAATTTAATCAAACACATAAATGTTTTCAGGGTTGAGGCATTATAGTTTTCATTCCACGTGATTCTAATAAAGGAATTTAGAATAGTTTTGTTATTTGCCTCCTGGAAATGAATGCTTTAATAAAACATTTAAAAACATTCATGGAGGTTAGGTCCATAAAAAGCTATTAGCCAGGGGATAAAATGGTGTCCTTGGCCTCTGTTTGTCAGATTCTGGAGAGGGATGGCATGAGACAAATCGCTTGATCATTGTCTTCGGTCCACCCTCTCTGAGGCACCTGGTACTGGCCACTGTTGGCAGACAGGATACTGGGCTAGATGGACCTTTGGTCTGACCCAGTACGGCTGTTCTTATGTTCTTATGTAAAAAATTCCTAGTATCCCCATGGTCTTCTGTACCAACATACTTCCGTGCAGTCTGATTTAAAGCGTTTGTTGGCTACAACAATTTGATATTAATTGAACTTCATGTACCTATCTCATCCCACCCCAGATTTATTTTATACTTTAATACTGGCAAGTATATTTTGACACACCAGGTCAGAAATAGAGGTTCATTAGAGTCCATGGAAATAGTCTCATTGGCATCAGTGGACTTTGGACCACACTTCAGACCCCCTAAGACCATCTTTATTTAGAAATGCACTTACAGATCTGATTAACTCCCATTGACTTCAGAATACTGTACTTTGCTGAATCAGGGTCTAAGTGCATAAATGAATGTGCTATGTATTTATTTTGAAACGCTAAATATGACTCAGATTTTTCTGACAGTTTTCCTGTAACTTTTTGTGGTAGAAGCCGTGTTCCTGTTAAAAATCAGTAAGATGCTGAATAAATTAAAGTACTGCATATGGCACTATAAACGAGTATTGGCTAGTGAAATTTTGTATATCTATTGGGCTTTTTTTAGATGCACTTTAAAAGGAAATTGTTCACATGCAAATAACTCAAGAGACTGGGTTAACATTTCACATGAAGCTGGTAAATGTCTTACAATCCAGACACCTCAAATTGATAGAAACAAGGTATGTAAAAACAATTTTGTGTGTATGTATTTGTTATTTTAAATGTGCTATTGCATCACTGACAGTAACTTTCTTCTTTTGAAACAACAAATGGTCTGGTAGCACTTTATAGTCTAACAAAACATATAGATGGTGTCATACCCACAAAAGCGCATGGTACCATATATATGTTTTGTTAGTCTATAAAGTGCTACCAGACCATTTGTTGTTTTTTAAGTTTATCCTATACAGACTAACTCGGCTACTCCCTGTAGTTTCTTCTTTTGGACACTGCACAACATGAAGCAGCACCTGTCATCTCAAACCTGACAAATATATTGGAGACTCTTATCTGGGTGAATTTATAGATACGATAGAGGGTTCCCTTCTACTGCTTTGCTTCTCTGCCAGGAGATAGGTCATAAGGTCTTACTTTATTGTGCTGATTCAGTTCCTCATTATGCTGACCAAGAGAGTGATTTAGTTATACAGTATTGTGATTTTATCACTTACATTATCCAGTGAGTGTCTATGAAACATGGCTACCCCTCTGAAACTTATGAAATATTCATTAACTGGGTACCAAGTTTTATAAGAAGTCTAAAAACACTTGCAGCACATGAATGCAAACTCAAACATGACCTTTGAGACCATGACACTAATGTTTGCAAAAACATTGAGATGAAAATGAATAGAGAAAAAAAAATCACAGGATCCTAGGAATGAGAAATAGAATAAATTTACAGGTGGAAGCCCATAGAGAACTCAGTAGGGATGAAATCAGTAAGATTCTATAAAAATTACTCTAAACGACCTACATAATTATTAATTATTATTAACAGGGCTCAACGATTGCGGCAAAAACCTCTCGCTAGCCCCACAATGCACATGCGCCAGACCTACACTGTGCATGCGCAAACTGCCGGTGAAAGGGGCAACCAGCTGAAATCTACTCGCCATGGGCGAGTAGATAAGCGTATTTGTCAGACCCTGATTATTAATTATATATTATTATTAATATATAATTCTAATGTCTAGCTTTTGCACAGTGCTTTTTGTCAGTAGATCTGAGGCTATGCCTAAACTACAGGCTTCTTGCACAATCTTCCAAAAAAACTTCTTGTGAAAGAGAGCGTCCACACTGCAAAAGTGCATCGAAAAAGCGATGTGCTTTTTCGAAAGATAGGTTCCAGACTGCCTGGACACTATCTCGCATATAAATAGTGATGGCTATAGACAGAATAGCTACCAGAGCATTTACTCTATCCTCTTCTTTTGAAAAAAATCCCTGTCAACACACACCTTTTTGCAAAAGAGCGCTTTCATAAAAAGGCATTCTTCCTTGTAGAATGAGGATTACCAATACTGGAAAAACCCCTCTGTTCTTTCAATTTACTTGTGAAAGAATGCAGTTGCAGTGTGGACTTGCTTCAAGTTTTGTCAGAAAAATGGCCGTTTTCCTGACAAAACTCTGTAGTGTAGACATACCCTGAGTGCTTTACAAAAGTGGTAAGTATTGTTATTCCCTTGCATGGAAACTGTGACAGAGAGAAGTGAAGTCACTTGCCCAAGATCACCAGCAAGTCCCAGCCCAGTGTTCTATGCACTATGATAGGATAGAATTCTATAGGATCTGGAAAAGTATCCTCCTGTTAGGGGAAAAAGTATGTTGTGGGTTCTGATTTTATATATGAATATTGATGCGACTTTCACACCTTCTTTGGTAGATCTTTAGAATTTTTTTCTGGTGTTCAGTCTTAACTTTCTCCCTTTATATTGTTATATTCCCTGTACCATTTAAATAGTTCTGCCTCTTTTTGTGGATTGAATCATAAATCCTTGGAATCTGGTATCATGTCCCCCAGCTTAGTTGTTTCTTTGCCAGTCTATTCATTTTTATCTCTGTTAACCTTTCCTCTTACATCAGTCACTCCAGTAGCATGGTTGATTTTGCTTCTCTCTTCTTAATTCCTCCATTTCTGTGACCTATTTCTATCAATAATAGGGTGTGTCTACACTGCACTGTTATTCCAGAAAAACAATACTAGCGTCCATACAGCTATTGTGTTATTTCAAAACAAAATTGAAATAATGGAGGGCTTTTTCCAACATTGTTAAACCTCATTTCATGAGGAATAATTCCTCTTCCTTTTGGAAGAGGGTATGTGTGGATGCTCCACTGCTGCTATGTCGAAATAGCTCCTCACCAAGGCCATTCTAAGTTATTCCTCCTCAGTTCCTCCTGGGGCTCTAAATCAAGATAGCACATCCACATTAGGGGAGCCTGCCTCGGACTAATTTTGAGGCTTTCCTGTAGTGTGGATGCTCTTTTTCAAAATATGCTATTCCGGAAGATATCTTCTGGATTAGCTTTTTCCAAAATAAGCTTGCATGTAGACGTACCCTAAGAAAAAGATCAAAATATGTTTGCTAAACACTCTGGCTATGTCTACACTGCCTGTTTTTTGTGGAAGAGGAAATGCAAATGGAGCACATATTTACATATCTCGTGCTCTCATTTGCATATCTTCTTCCAGTCCTTTTTGCGGAAGAAGTTTTGCGATAACAAGCCCTATGTAGATGGGGCCACTTGTCGAAAAAAAAACCCTTTTGCTCAAGAGCCTGTAAACCTCATTTTTGAGGAGTATGGGATCTTTCGAAAAAGGGGTTTTATTTCAAAGATGGCGCTTTCACTTTTGAAATACCCTTTTTCGAAAGACTGCTGTGATGTGATTATGCAAATAAAGTGCAGGATATTTAAATTCCCGCTTCATTTGCACTTTTGATTTGCCTAATTTACATCCCTCTTTCGACAGAGGGATGTAGGTTAGCCATACCCTATCTGTTCACTACAAGTATTGCTTTGAGTGTTCACTTTTTAAGCTATGTGATTGACCACTTAATTTGCATGATATCCATTTGGTTCTTGATTGCATGAGCTAACATTAATTAAATTACTTCCACCAAATTCAGTACAAAACAGATTGTGTTGTAATTAAATGCATTTTGGATATAGATCCAAAATTAATTTTCTATGAACATTTGTATAGACCTGCACAGATGTTTGTGAAAGGGAAATCTAAAAGAGCATAATATGGTCAAAACAGAATTCAGTTAAACACTTGTCAAAACAATAACAAATAATTTTGCTCCTTATTCACACATCTCTGATAATAACATTTCAGAAGGGTAATAGCTCTCATCAACATCATTTTTTGTATCCTTCCCTGCTTTGATAGACCTCTGATGAACCTGTCTGCTTCTGACATGCTAGGATGTGTGGTTCTTGTTTGGTTTTTTTGTTTTTGTTTTTGGTTTTTTGCACTTTATATAATTTGAACTTGTGTGAAGGTAGGAAGGCAATTTAATAAATACTGCAAGTAATCAGTTGTATTTTTACTTATTTTAGATCGTTGTGACAGCAGTTGGAGATGTTTCAACACACTCCATAAACCACCTAGTTTGTATTGTGAAAAATATAAAAACAAACCAAGTGCTTTGTAAGAAGGAAAAGCCACAAATCATGAACTGTTCATGTGAGCTAAATAATGCAGCCTTAAGTGAGACCGGTATGTTTGTGTAGCATCCTTATCATTCATTATTCTTTACTGCTGTTTAAAGCTAACTGTGAATACATGACCAGAGAGCAGAAATGAAGCTCGTACATTGTATTCAGGATTTTTATATGAAAAACACTTGATTCTTATTTTGGCAAGTAATTTGAACATATTAGGGTGTATTTGATCATTTTCTTGTTATTAACGTGTAACCCTGTACTGAAGATGTTACAGCTTCCCTTCTGTGCCAATCTGCAGAGAATTGAGTTGTATCAGCTGCCATCTCCTAAGTCTTGACTCCTTAGCTCAGGTTGTACTAGTTCAGTTTTTTTAGCTCTGGAAGTCCTTGGTGCAGCCCCTGCTATGGCGGATAGCTGTCATCAGACATACATTCATGATTATACTTGCTTTGGGCTCAATTCTGTCCTATTGACTTTAATCTGAATTAAACTGAAGGCAGGGTTGATTTTGTCTATACTTATGAAATGTGTGGTGAAAACCCACTCATAAAAACTCTTAACTTTTTATTGGAAAACAGCTTTGGAGGCTACTGGCAAAAGATGTTGAAAACTAATGTGAATTAGTGGTTAAGAATCAAATTCTGATCTCACGTGGGAGAGAAAAAATTGTCTTTTACTACTCTTATCGTGTAAAATGAGAGAAAAATGAGTATGCATATCTGAATTATAGTTTAACATTAGTAAACATTTTCGGACTGGTTTAACTGCTTGTAGGAAACAAGTGTTTTAATACATGTCCAGTACATTTATCACCTGTAGATTATAGAAAAAAACAGGGTTAAATAGTGAATAATTATAAAGAATAATTTATTTGACAATTTTTTCCCTCTGTGTGTTTATAAATTGCCTGCAAATGACAATGAATTGACTGTGAACAAATCTGTTATTGATTTCATTCATTATTTATTGCATCATTCTGCAGTAATGCTTAGTCCATGGCTTTGTTCACAAGCACTTAGTTCTGAGTATTAGAAATCTGAATAATTCTGCTAGAGTATATAGGTCCTGTGGAATGTTTCCTGACAAGATGAGTGTAAGTCTTAGAATGAGGCTGCGAATTATTACAGGTTTGAAATTCACTTTCTGGAATTCAGGATTCAGTCCCAAGATAGTTCAGAAGGTAATCTATGAAACCTGTTTCTGTTCAGTTAGTAACATTTTTTTCCTGTACAATTTTCATGGATCTGTGTGGATACATATGGATCTTTTAAAGATCTGTTTCATCGGGTTTTTTTATTCCACTAGAAACTATTGGTGGAAACAAAAAAGAGCGCTCTAAAACAAATGAAAGGCAAAGGTGCAGTCATATGAGTCAACACAAAAATAAAACATCTTTAAATAGTACTGAGAGTTTGATAAAAACGTGAGATAAGGAAGTTTAAAGTAGCTGCTCTAACTCCAGCATTAACTTTTTCTCTTTTCTTAGGCATTGTAGCCTTAGAGATGCATAGATCAGATCCTCACTTGTAAAGGGATAAATGAAACCTCCGCTTTAATTTATGAACATTTTTTATTTTATTGTGGACTCCAACCCCACAAAGAGCTCTGTACAGATGGAGTTGTGTTCCTTTGTAAATACATATTCATGGACTTTTAAAAATACAAGTACTGTCATAAATATATTAGGAACTTTTATAATGCTTATTATTGACCCACTCCCATGAGCCATAAGTTTCAGAGGGGTAGCAATGTTATTCTGTAATTGAAAAAACTTAAAACAACAACAAATAGTCCTGCAGCACCTTAGAGATTAACAAAAAACATAGATGGTTTCATGAGCTTTTGAGGGCACAGCTCACTTCTTCTTCCCATGAGCTATGTTAGCACAGTAGTAGAATTTGTCACTTTTTCCTCTCTTTTTTCTGGGGGAAGTTTCTGTTGCTTAGTGTGTGTTTGTATAATTCCTCACACAAAAGGGGCCCTGAACTCAACTAGAGCCCGTAGGTGCCACTGCCGTGTTACTAGTTATGACTCCTGCTACAGAGCAGTTACTAATAAACCATGAGTGTGGCAAATATGTTGAAAAGTACACATTACTTGGTATTACATTGCCCTCACCTTGAGAGACAGGGCCTTTGAGAGACTCCTGTGATCTTCTGACCTGGGAAAATGTTATGAAAACAACTACAGGTTGAACCTTTCTAGTCCACTACTCTCTGGTCCAACAACATCCGTGGTCCAGCATAATTTTAGGTCCATTTGTCCAGAGGCATAGCGAAGGTTTTTTGCTCCCCCCCCCCCCCCCCCCCCGCCCCATCCCCTGGCAGGGCCCCAAACCTGGCACACAGCTGAGCCCAAGACTGTATCGTGTCTTCCCTCCGGTCTGGGGCTAGGCCTAGCATGCACTAACCCACCAACAGAAATGGAGGACGGTTGAGCTGGGGGCAGAGAAGCGGGGAAGAGGCTCCAGCTGGCGGTAGCAGGTGGAGGAGGAGCAGGCAATCCGAGGGATGACACGGGGAGCAGAAGGGACTAAATTGGCATCCCCTAGAGTGGCACCCAGGAGCAACTCTCCCCCCTCACCCTGCCTTCCCTCGCTATGCCACGAGGTTAAGATGTGGCATTTGTCATGGATGTGGCCAAGTTTCCCACAATTCCACAAAGTTTATTTCAGTCTACCAGTCCTGGTTCTCAGTACCTGGCTCTCAGTGTTCTATGCAGTTATTTAGCTTTAATTTACCCTTAAATGTCTTCTCAGAGCCCAATAAGAAGTGGAAATGTTGATAAGGCTGCTAGACAATATTGATCGCCTGTGGTTTGGCAGATTCTCTGGTTCAGCACCAGTCAAGTCCCCAGGATGCCAGACTAGAGGGCTATGTCTAGACTGCGCCTGTTTTGTGCAAAAAATATGCAAATGAGGCAAGGGTTGGAATATCGCCATGCCTCATTTGCATAATTAATGAGACTCTGTTTTTGTGCAAGAGGCTTTTACGCAGGAGACGTTCTTCCTGAAAAAATGCGGAAGTTTTGCACAAAAAGGAGCCCTGTAGATGGCTCCTTTTTGCTCAAAAGCCTCTTGAGTCAAAACAGAGCCTCATTTACATATTTCTTGTGCCAAACGGGTGCAGTGTAGACATAGCCGAGAAGTTCAACTTGTATTACTCAATGCAATCTGATGCATTCAAAAAGCAGATTGTTCTTCTTGCACTCAATCCAGCTCATCCTGAGACTAACAGCTGTTTTTCCACAGCCAGGTGTAAAAGTACTTTGTTTTTTGTAGTTTAAAGAAATTCCACCAGAAGCAGCAAAATATCTTTCCTTAATTATTTCCCTTCCCTCCATTCAAGCAGTTATCAATGAATGGTGAATTATGACCAATTAAAGACAGAACTATGTAGCACTTTAAAGATTAACAAGATGGTTTATTAGGTGATGAGCTTTTGTGGGCCAGACGAAAGTGGGTCTGAGGAAGTGGGTCTGGCCCACGAAAGCTCATCACCTAATAAACACAGTCTGTAGAGGGGGTTGAAACCAGCACAGTCTGTAGAGGGGGTTGAAACCAGCACAGTCTGTAGAGGGGGTTGAAACCAGCACAGTCTGTAGAGGGGGTTGAAACCAGCACAGTCTGTAGAGGGGGTTGAAACCAGCACAGTCTGTAGAGGGGGTTGAAACCAGCACAGTCTGTAGAGGGGGTTGAAACCAGCACAGTCTGTAGAGGGGGTTGAAACCAGCACAGTCTGTAGAGGGGGTTGAAACCAGCACAGTCTGTAGAGGGGGTTGAAACCAGCACAGTCTGTAGAGGGGGTTGAAACCAGCACAGTCTGTAGAGGGGGTTGAAACCAGCACAGTCTGTAGAGGGGGTTGAAACCAGCACAGTCTGTAGAGGGGGTTGAAACCAGCACAGTCTGTAGAGGGGGTTGAAACCAGCACAGTCTGTAGAGGGGGTTGAAACCAGCACAGTCTGTAGAGGGGGTTGAAACCAGCACAGTCTGTAGAGGGGGTTGAAACCAGCACAGTCTGTAGAGGGGGTTGAAACCAGCACAGTCTGTAGAGGGGGTTGAAACCAGCACAGTCTGTAGAGGGGGTTGAAACCAGCACAGTCTGTAGAGGGGGTTGAAACCAGCACAGTCTGTAGAGGGGGTTGAAACCAGCACAGTCTGTAGAGGGGGTTGAAACCAGCACAGTCTGTAGAGGGGGTTGAAACCAGCACAGTCTGTAGAGGGGGTTGAAACCAGCACAGTCTGTAGAGGGGGTTGAAACCAGCACAGTCTGTAGAGGGGGTTGAAACCAGAGTGAGACCAAGTATTGGTTGTGAAGAGAACCACCTGTCTGGTGGTTAAAGCACAAGATTGGAAGTTGGGAAACGCTGATTTTGCTACAGACATATTATGTAAGCTTGGGGAAGTCAGTTTCTCTGTGGGAGTTGCCTCATCTGTTAGCATGAAGGTAATATTGCCTTTCTACCTCACAGGATTGATGTCAAGCTTAAATCAGGAAAGTGTGAAGTGCTTTGAGAATTTTGGATGGAAGGTGCTGTAGAAAAACAAAATGTTGTTATATAAAACAAAAGTGTGTGTGTTAGAGGAAAGGAGGGGGAAAGAGAAGACGAACATACCAATCAGGATGCAGCTTGTTGTAATTGGCTGCTAAGATTGTCAATGAATATTCAGTTATTTTTTTGTAGAAAGGTAACCAGCATACATCTAATATAGATAATTCTTTTCATCTATTCCAGCTGTTGAAGTGACATTCATCTTTGATTCTTGGAATTTGTCAGAAACATTCCAGTTGAAAAAGTAAGAATTTATTTTCTAAGTATGTTTGTGAAGGGCTGCATATCTGTGGTGTGTTCATCTTATTATTCTAAGTGTTTAAAAAGGGAGATACTTTACCAGAGGCCAAGAAATCCCCTTGTCTTTTTCCTCCCCTCTCTTTTGTGGCTTTATAAAGTTGCTTTCACGTTGTGTCTGTTTTAAGAAATATCTCTTTTTATCATTTGAGCTTATAAGACCCTGGCAGCTATTGAAGAGTTGTTACAACAATGCTAAATCCCACTGAAATAATAAAGGCTGTCACTTGGAAATCAGCAGACATTTTGCCTGTGTAAGGACTAAGGGCCATGTAGTTCCCTCCTGTGGTCTAACATGAATGGACGGAGACAAAAGATCCAGAAAAGTGTGTGAAGTTCATCTTATGGAGTTTGCTTCTAAGAGGGATGCCATTTGATGGGATGTTAACAACAGAAAGTAACACTTAATGAAATAATAGTAATATCGAAACCTGAGGAGCACTTATATGTACACAACCATTGTTTAGGAACATATGTATTCTGTGCCCATTTTGCACTGAGAACTCATGGGCTTTGTCTACACTGCAGGGGTATTGCACAAGAAGTTTTTTGCAGAAGAGATCTTCCGCAAAAAACTTCTTGCGCAAAAGTGCATCCATACCTCAAAAGTGCATGGCAAAAGCAATGTGCTTTTGCGCAAGACAGCGTCCACACTGCATGGACGTTCTTGCACAAGAATGGCCATCAAAGCACCTGTGCTTTTTGTGATAGACTCTTTTTGTGCAAGAAATCCCTGTGGAGTGTCCACACACACCTTTTTGGGCAAGAGATGTAGCGCAAAAAGGAGTTATTTCTCGTGGGGCAAAAGCCCTCTGTCCTGCCCATTTACTGTTTGTTTGGGTTTTTTTGAGCAAAAACGTGCTTGAGGTGTGGACGCTCTGCCAGTTTTTGCGCAAAAACCTTGTAGTGTAGATATAGTCTTACTGAAAGCAGTAGGAGTTACTCACACAGGATGTGGGTATATTATGAACAAGATTATATATATATGTGACAGGGTTGCCTGTGATAGCAGGGGACTGGATTTAATGATGCAAGGCAGTCCCTTTCAGTTTTATGTCCAGTGTTCCTGTACTTCTTAATTAACACTTTTTTCTCTTTTCTGACTGTAATAAACATCAGAATAGTCAGACTGGCATATGTGCTGGCTAACTATGGTATTCCATTTTGGAGCCTACCCCTCTCCTGTGGAGGAGTTAAATGATGAACACTTATGAAGACATTCACACTCTGCCTTGTTCCAGGAACAGCCTCTCATTTCTGGAGGATGGATAATTCTCTGATACTGGCCCTTACCTGTGATAGCTGGTATATTGATGTGGGATAGGGGAGGAGGAAACCTGTGCCCTTCCTGCCCGTAAGGAACTTCAAAAGGCTACAGCTAAATGCAACCCAACATTTTCTCTTTCCTTCACATTTCTCATAAATCTCACTCTCAACTGCTGAGCTATGATTCTGTTAATCACTTAGCATGCCCTCAAAATGAGAAAACTATCTGGTAAGGAAGTTCCCTGCAATCTAAGGGCCAGATTCCAATCAACATTGATTGGGTAAACTGGGATATGGAGGAGTTGCAGGGAGCCTCTCTTCATTCTCCTTGGTGGGTAGAATGCTGGACCTATGGAGATTATAATGTAAGTGTTTTGCTCGTTTTAATATAGTTTACAGATTCACAGTGTTGTTAGGTTTGTACTTCTTTGCATAACTTGAAATTTTATGTTCACAAATGTATTTCTTAACCTATTTGCTTGATCCCTATATTTGATGCAAACTATCTGTTTTATATATTGCCAGTTGCCAAAAATGTATCTACACCGGTAATTGCACCTTGTGTACAGTAAAGCATCTCTCTCCCTTTGCTGCCTGTAAGCCTGATGATTCTGGGCAAGATCAGGTACAATGCTTTGGATTTACAGAACATAACATTTTCTGTGGTACCTTTTTTTTTTTAAATTTGAGCAAATGTACGTTTCATATTCGTTTTAATGTGACAGAATGTTTTGAATTTTTCAGGATGATTGTCATGGGTTTGACAAACAAGGGAATGTGCCAGCCACCACTGATTCCCCAATGGAAGCTACTACACAGATGTCAAAGGTTAGCTGCCATTTTGAGACTGATTTAAATGATGCACAAATTGCCCACATTGATCGGGGAGAAAGCTCATATAAAAGGAGAAAAAGGTTGGAAGGAAGGCAAGGGTAGTTATAATTAATTGGGTATAGAATTATTGCACGAGTTTGTTGATTATTATTTGTATTTATATTAAATAGCACTGAGTGGCTCCAGTGAGGATTCAGTCTCCTCCCTGTTATTGTGTTGTAAATATACCTAGAATGAGTGAGTATTTCACTTAAACAGCATGCAACGTACCTAGACAAAGGGGAGTTGGAAGTATGACCAGATGTATTCTACAAATAGTGAAGTGAGATCAAAAAGAGATCAAATGATCTGTGCAAAGTCACACAAGGATTCTGTGACAGAACCGGAAACTAGTGGCCTAAATACCTTAACCACAAGATCGTTCTCGCTTTCTTGATGGCTCAAAACAAAATGTTTGATAAATTTCAATAATCTCAGTTAGTGCTACTTATCTTAGCTACCAGTGGTCTGGTGATTTGCTGTAGGCAAACAGAATATTATTATCTACTTGGTTTCTCATTTTCTACAAGTTAGGATGGCTGCAATAAATAGATGCTAAGGGGGAATATAGCATTCTTGTCTTTACTTCTCTGATATGTCTGCCTAATTCCTTACACAATAAAATGAGTTACCCTCTCAGTCCAGCTGCAATGCTTGATGTTAATATTTTGAACAAAATATTATTACTTTTGTTTTTCAAACAGGAAAATGGGACTGTAGTATGTGCACTTCTGAACATTACTACTGCAGAATTGATGTGTGCATAGAATGCTAACACTCCAGAGAGAAAAGAGCAAGCTCCTCTATGCCTTGTTTCCAAGTGCATTAATTTGCCCCACATGCCTTATCTTGGAGACACAGTTATGGACAAAGCTGTTGAAGCATTAAAAGCCATAGAAAGGCAGATAGTGTTTTAAACTCAGAGCATTCAAGGGCTTTAAAAATGCAGTTGAGATCTTGCTTTTTCTTATCCTGAAGTTCTGACATTTTTATTTTGTCTTTAGAACTCTAGGGTCAAATAATAGTTGGACTTGCACACAGTGTTCCCTCTAATTGTTTGCATCAGGGGTAGAATAATTTTTGTTACATGCACCAAGGAATGTGCAGATGTGTACCACCAGTAGAAACACACGCTGCCGGCTGTGGGATCTCTGTTAATCAGCTGGGCGGCATTTGAATCTCTCCTGCGTGGCTGCCCAACTGCTCAGCTTACAGGGAACACTGCTTGCATAGAAGCTCTAGAAAGGAGGATCGGTCACCTGAAAACCTCTACCCATTGTTGATCCATACAGGACACGGTCATAATTTGGCTGCAGGGCACTGGGCTGCAAGGGTAGAGTAAGGATGGCTAGTACTTCTCTGAAAGGTATCTAGTGAGCTGAGGGAGGGAACTGTGCCTATGAACTAGCTGGTCTATAATGGGGCAATGTTGTCTACACCTTCCAAGTTGCAATAAAAGCCTTTTTCCCAGGATGCTTCCCTCAGCACTAGTTGAGATGATATGCCATTTGGATTAGAGTGGGCCAGGTAACCACTGGTGTAAATCGGAGTAACTCCATCAAAATCTGTGACCATGTGCAGATTTACACCGGCTAAAGATATGGCCTAACATCTCCAAGTCCTGCGGCTCTGACCGCAAGCTCCCTTTCTTTATATATCTTTCTGAGCATTTATACTACATTTATCAGTGCGGTAGCTGTGTGCCTTACAAATGTTTTAAAATGTCACATGTTTCTTTTCTGTTCTCCCTGTTATTGGTGGCAATTTCTCATTCAGCCACATTGAAGAAATGAGTTTTGCATGTTCAAGTGGGGAATATAGCTGTGGTGCTGTGATGCAGAAGTGTGTGATCTAGACATTGGCTGGCTGCTGACACATCTGCCTCTCCCACAGTCATGAGATCATAGTTTCATTGTTCCTAAGGAACTCAGGTGTTGTGGGCAGTCAGCAGTCACGTAGCAAGACAGTTGCCCAAGTATCTTGGGTCAGCACTGGTCAGAGCTCTGAATATCAGCACTAAAACTTTGATTTTGTGTTCAGTGAGGAAGCTAATGCCATTTAGCCCAGGAAAAGCATTTTTTGCAGTGAAACTTTAAGCATCTTTCTGTTGATTATTTCTTATTAACAAGTAGATATCATTTAAATTAAGTACCCAACATGCCTCTACTATGAGCTCCTTTTCGTTGCTGAACTTGTACCCTCTTTCGTATATGTTGGCAGTAAAATGAAGCTTAGAACAGGGGTGAGGAACCTAAGGCCTGGCGGCCTAATGCAATCCCTGGCTTGCCTGGATCTGGCCCCTGAGGCTCCAGGGCAGCCTTCGCTGGTGCTCCTGGACACCTTCCCTCCTCCAATCCCTCTCCCCTCCCACACACACACACCCAGGCTCTGGTGTGTGAGGGGAATGTGGAGAATGTCTTTCTCCTTTTCCGTTGGGGGCTGTCTCAGTGAGGGTTTTTTTGTTTGTTTGGTTGGTTGGTTTTTTTTGTTGCTTCTCATTTGTGTGCAGCCCTCAATTGATTTTTCAGTGGGCCATTGGTCCCTGACTCTGCCACCCCCCCCTCCAAAAAAAAAATCTGTTCCTCATCCCTAGCTTAGAGCATTCCTCCTTGCTAATGGGACTTGTTACTCTGTTCTGTGAATGACCTTTTATGGTGCTCTGGCAAGGTGAAGGATCTCACTGGGATGGAAATGACCCCCTGAGGTTGTTCCCTGTGAAGAGGGCCTTCCTAGCCAAGGCAGAGCTGGCATAAGAGCTTTACACTCGCTCGGCTTCCACTCCCAGGTGTAGAGTGTTGGTTGTTGACATGTTGCGGGTATGCCAGAATCTACTGCTCTGTAATTCTTCTCTGCTTCCCAGGGCTTGTAGGGGACCCAGGTATTCAGGGTGGAAATTAAAGCACCCCTGAAACTGTTGTCTTACTTTAGAGGTGAGACAGGCCTGTGTTGAAGACCCTAAATATGGGATGTGTCATAGCTTTAAAGCACCAGAGGTTCCCTGCCTCCCATCCTCTGATGTACACACAGTTCAGGAACAGAGTGATGGAGAATAAGGCCCTGCATTATATTTAAAGGTAGAAGTCAGTGTTTAAAAGGTGACTATTCTAAGTGCTTTAAAATCCATGACTCGTGGCTTCATCTATTTCCTGAATAATGAGACTCAAATTGATCAGAGGAAAGCAAGTTGCTGGCTCATTGGGTCCCAGGTTTTCTGATACACATCCACTGCTTTTCCCCCCAACATGAGCTGTTCATGTCATTTTCAGATTCAGACTTTGTAGAGGCAACAAAGGCAGGCAAGAGAGTGCATTCTGTGGCCAAGGACCTAGTGAGAAGAAGACCCTTGGCACTGCTCCTGACACAGCCTAGGGCTGTGGTGTCTAACCAGTTCTGAAGCAGTAGCCACTATAGTGCTACTGTAGCAAACTAGCCACACTCAACCAGCCAAATAGCCACTTGTGGCTAGTGGCTAGCGTATTGGACACTACGGCCTGAGGGAATGCAGTGCTGTAATGAGGAATACCTGACACCACCTGTACACATCTCCTTCTACACAGTAATGTTTATGCCAGCCTGCCCCAACTAATCACATAACCATTCATCACGGCTACCCATGACACAGTGCATATAGCTGGAGTTCAGGCAGGTAAATGCTGCAATTCAAATCTGTGGAACTAACCACAGCACAAAAACGGTGGCTCATGCTCTTAGCTGTTCTTTGTGTCTGCTTCTTATGGTGACATCCCTACTATTGCCAGCAGCACAGTTAATTACATTGCAGGGGGTGGAGTGATCTTAACTCTTCAGAGATGTTTAAAATGTCTTAGAGGGTTAGCTGTGTTAGTCTGTAACTTTAAAAACTATGAGTGATCCTGTCACACCTTAGAGACTAACAAATATTTATATGTAATATGTAGTATCTTGACCTTTTGTGGACAAAACCCATTTCTTCAGATAAGCTTGAAAAAGTGTTATTTGCCCTCGATAGCTCATGATATTATATATATTTTTGTTAGTCACTAAGGCTATGTCTAGACTGCAAGCCTCTTTCAAAAAAGAGCATATAGACTACAACCAGTACTTTCGAAAAAGCAAGTCACTTTTTCGAAAGAGAGCACCCAGGCGGTCTGGATGCTCTCTTTCGAAAAAGCAGTTTGCATTACATAGCACCTTTTTTCAAAAGAGCACTATTGAAAAAAGGCGTTATTCCTTGTAAAACGAGGTTTTCTGTGGTCAAAAAAACTGCTGCGTTCTTTCAATTTACTTTCAAAAGAACAGAGCAGCAGTCTAGAGGCAGGGGAAGTTTTTTTTCGAAAAAAGGCCATTTAAAAAAAAAAAAAAACACCTGTAGTCTAGACATATCCTAAGGTTGGCACAGGACTACTTGTTGTTTTCAGAGATTTTTAGTGAGTGTGAACTTGATATTTTGAATGCATCCAAGGTACCAAAGGGCAACCATAAACAGAGTATGGAGCACTAACAGTATGGAGCTCTTAATTTTTACAAGCATCTATGACGTATTTGGAGTTGCCTGTAACAATTTATGAACATTATGTGTTAGCTGTATTGTTGGTATAGTTTCTGTATGCATTTGCCCAGTTAATTGAAAAGTATTTTTGTCAGGAAATACACCCAGGAAGGGCGGTGGATCCAGAGAGTTGCTTCTCAGCAAACTCCTGAGAAACAAACCCAGAGCTATTTGTTTAGATACTCTGACTTAGCCCCCTTGTGCGACCTGCCAAACAGATGTCCCCAGGAGATAGTTGGTTCCTGTGGGGAGAGGGAATCAGAGGATCCAGCTCACTACATGCATGAAGTGAACTGGAGAATACATGGTAGAAGTTTTTGATACTTCAGTAACCACGCTGAACCAAGCTGTAAGCTGGGCAAGAGAATGTGTCAAATGGGTGTGCCCACAAGCAGACTCATTTAAAAATTTGGATAATCACCAAACTCGAAATCCTAAAGGGTCATTTTTAACTTGTAATGCAGCTAACTTAAAAAACAAATAGTTAAAAATCATGTACCCATGAAAGTCCCAGCCAGCTTGAAACACATAGCTTTTTTTTTCTAAGATTTTTTTTCTTGCCTCTGTTGTGTGAAAAATGCACAGAGGAAACTGATTAACTGATTATTACACAGTGGATATGGCTAACTGCACATACACTGCTGTCGAATGCACCAAATAAATTGAAAACATTAGAGAAAATGTTATTTTTGTATCAATAGTAAGTAAAAAAAAAAAAAAGTCCAGAAAGAAGTGTGATTATTAAAATTGGCCATGTTCCTTACAGCATTACTAGCAAGCTATTGGTATACCATCACATGGATTGTCATTTTTATACACAGGAAGATGCATACGTAAATACCTTTTCCTTAAATTTGGCTATATAGTACTCAATTGTCTGTGTATGGCTTTAAAAAGTATCCAGTGAGCCCAGCTTTATCCTGTTTCTTGTCTTTTCATTCTAGAATTCTACCCAGCCATACCATTTTCAAGACATTGGATACAGTTACATTTGGTTGTGTTGTTTCTGAATTGTTAGCAGTAACATATAAAGCTGCTTTTAAAAGTGGATATTTGTCACAAATGTCTTTCAATAAGTTACATTACACTTCCTGTTGGTAATTTTTATTTCAATAGAAATGCAAATATAACATTGCTAAAATTAGACGACTTGAAAAGGAGTTGTGGTTGTTCAGCACCTCTCAGGATCAGACTCAAATATGTGACAATTAACAAGAAAGATTATTCTGATTCATTTTAAAATATTTTAAATGCATAAGCGTAACACTTTCTTCAATAGCTTGTTTTTTTTTTACCTGATTTTGTTTGTTTCCAATAGCTTATCAGCATTGCTTCCATAGAACCTTTATGGATATCAGTGTTAGGAAAAAAGGAAGTGATAATCACAGGAGGAAACTTTACAATAGCATCAAACATTACAGTGGTGTTGTCTGGAACCAGTGGCTGCAAACAAGATATGTGAGTCCAATTGAGACAGATATTTATGTTTCTGTTTTTAGTGCAGTGATAATTACACACATACCCCAGAGCCAAATTTTGTCTTTAGATGCACAGTCAGGTAAGCAGCTCTTATTGACTTATACTCAAGGGAAAAATGTAGCCTGTTAGGGGTGGGGAAACTTTTTTGGGGTCAGGGGTCACTGACCCACAGAAAAATCAGTCGAGGACTGCACAAAAGTGAGGGCCCTCCCGACTGAGGAGGAGAAAGACATTCCACACATCACACATTCCCCTCACACACCAGAGCCTAGGATGGGTCCATGCTAGTATATTTTGTGCCCCTCCAGGCTCTGGGGTGGGGTCAAAATGAGGGGTTCAGTGTGTGGGAGGGGGCTCCTGGGAAGCATGCTTGGGGTGTGGGGTCTGAGGGAGAGGGAGAACACAATAGCAGGCTGGGAGAGGAGCCCCGAGCCTCGGAGGCCATATCTAGGCAAGCCAGGGGCTGCATCTGACCTCTGGGCCTCAGGTTCCTCACCCTTGATACATGAATGGAGTATCTTTTAATTAGCTGAACACATCCTATAAGGTACGGTAGCTCTCAACTCTCACTGAAAAGACTGGAGGAAACACAGTCCTACATCAGTGCACAGACAAAGGGATGGTTTGGGTGTGCAGGTGGGGCAATTTGCACTTCTCATTCTGGATCCTGGAGCTGCCAAAGTGATCCTGGTTCAACCCATAGTACTAGGGAGGGATGTTCTGAAAGCTCACCTATCTCATGTCCAGGCTGCCTTTGCCCCTCTGTGCTTTGCAGCAGGCAGAAAATAGTTGGGGCATGGCTCAGACATGTTTTGATCCAGCCCAACAAACCCCAACCAGTCTTCAAACTCTGCTGGAAATTGTCTGGAAATGGGTGACGGGAGGGATCACGTGAGGATTTCCTGTTGTGTTCCCTCCCTCTGGGGCTCTGGTATTGGCCACTGTCAGCAGACAGGATAGTGGGCTAGACAGACCTTTGGTTTGACCCAGTATGGCTGTTCTTATGTTCTTACACTGCTGCTGGAGACTCGCGTGGCAACGGAGGGCATAGACTAGGCAGTACTCAGTGGGGCTGTTTGTATGAGTGCCTGTTCACCGATGTGAATAAGAATTGCACAGTGTAACCCTTAATGAAATAGACTAGATTGCCCTAGATCAAGAGCAGGGAAGCTTTTTTCTGTCAGGGGCCATTGACCCTCAGAAAAATCAGGTGAGGGCCACACAAAAGCCAAAAAAGAGCCTGCTCAACTTGCCTGTAGTAACCATTAACTATTTACTATTTGGATTAACTATTTTGAGACTTAAGGGCAGTTAGATTTTGTGGTGGGCCCCTAGACTTTGGGGTGGGGCCAAAAATGAGGAGTTGCAGCCTTCCATCAACAGGTAGATTACTCAGTCTTCCCCCATCCAACTACAAAGAGGTTTCTCAAGAGCATAATGAACCTCCTTTCAGAACCCAGACTTCCTAATCCACAGTGAGATCCTCAAGCAAATGCTAAAAGGGCAAGCATACGCCATCTATGAAAACAGCGTTCCTCATCACCATCACCTCTGCAGGAAGGATAGGGGAAATGGCGGCTCTGAAGGCTCATTCCCAAGGTCAGGCTTCACTCGCCAGGTGACTTCCACATTCAGCTTCCAACCTTTTATCCCAAATCTCATCAGGATAAAAGAGAAGCCATCCGTTCTATGCTTAATGTCATGAGAGCCCTGGCCTTCTATTTGGACAGGACAAGAGTTTTCAGAACATCTCCGAGACACTTCCTCTCTGTTGCAGATAGATCCAAAGTACAGCAATTTCTGCTTGGAGACTGCCCCAGGGGGTCTCAGCCAGTGTTCCCTCTAAGCTGCGCAACAACACAGCTTCACAGGTGATTAATCAGCCCCACATAGTCAGTCTGCTGCATGATGATTAATCACCTAAGAAACTGGGCTGCTACACAGCTTAGAGGGAACACTAGGCTCAGGCTGCGTTATATTTTGTTACCAACAGTGCAAATATGCGTGTGTTCTACAAGATTGATCTTCTCATCGATTGCCTTCTCCCAGGGAATGCCTATATCAGAAATCTGCAGAGCAGTAACTTGGGCATCATTCCTGAAGAACACTATGCCCTCCTGGGGGAATCAGCTGCAGATGACAAATGTGGTGCTTCCATGCTATCATCCTTAACAGGTTTCACTCCAAAGTCCCTGCCTCCAGTGGTGGGCACTACTAAGGAGTTACCTGCCCTGGAATATCCATAGGGATGCTTGTGTAGTAATGGTGGTTCTTTGGTATGTGTGTCCCTCAGAGAACCATCGTTACTGCACGAAGTGAGTAACTTCTTTCTAGGAGAGTCATTTTCTCCTCTCTCCATCTCTTCATTTTATGGCCTGCCTATAGTAACATGGAAAGATGATGGGGTCTTCTATCAGTTTGTTTGGTGCTAGTTGGATTGCATGACGTGTGTGCTGTGATCAGACTCAGGGATTCTACAAGAACTTCCCTTTGGGGCTCTAAACATGCACATGTAACTCTAGAGTCACAGGTTGAGTATCTCCGTCGTAGTTAAAATGCTTCAAAAACATCTACATTGTTTTTCTTTTTCCTCCAGCATACCAATCAGCAAGGTGTTAAATGACACACATGCGAGATTCTCTTTCCCACCTAGACGCAAAGAGGCCAAGAGAGTATGCATAAAGGCCAATAGGGGTAAATGTTCAACACCAATCACAGTGTATTATGTCTCTAAGCCATCATGTACTAAAATGGAGCCAAACATCACCTGGGCCAGGTAATTCTTGTTTTTGTTTGTTTAATTTTTATAGACTTAAAGTTTAGTCATGTTATGTTAATATTAGCAAACTTAATTGGCTGCCAGGTCTTCAGTTGATATAAATTGGGATAGCTGTACTAGATTACAATGAAGCTGTACTTCTTTATAAAAAATAAGGTTCTGGTCCCATAATCCAGTTAATCACTGATGTAACTCATTTCATTATAAGCCATGAAAGAATATATCCAGTGAGTTGAATTAAAGCAGTATTTGATGTGCAAAGATGATCGCTGTAACTACCACAAATGTATCCGTTTTCTTTTAAAGTACAAAACTATTTTTCTAACCCTACTTAATAGTAAATGAAAAATAAATCTTGGTACTATACTGCGATCTAAAATGAAAGTCAAGGGTAGCACAAATATATTTTGGTTTTCACCTCTAATTTATTTTGGCCATACATTGTGAATTTCCCCTTCATCTTCTGAAGACTAGCTGCAGAATTTCTTCCTCTTGTTAAAGGTATCTAAAAAAGAAAGTCAATTGAACATAAAATGAAAATTCCCCTTCCTTGATTAATATGTATAAAATGCCCCCACTGACTTGTCTTTGGGCCAAATTGCCAGAAGCTTCTTGTGAAGTGCTCTTCACCCTCAACTCCTACTAAAAGATATCAGGAATTGTCCTAGTCCTAGGTTGCTCCAGGAGCATCAAAACAGCCTGATGTTCCTTGCTCAAGGTTGATCTCTTTCATTAGGCCTTAGTGAGTACAATCTTGGTTTATACAAGTAAATGCATTGTTACTATGTGATTGGAGGAAAATGTATAACTAACTGAGAAGTAGTACATACCTGTACATTATTAGATCATTTGGGTCTTGCACTAGATTTCTTGTGAGCAAACAGGATTTGTACCATGAAAGAGGCATGTATGTATCCTTTTTAAGTGCTTCCAAACATAACTTTGTAAAATTGGAAATCAGTCATACAAATTAAATACCCCTGCAACTTGTTTTTATTTTATTTGCTGTTACCAAGGCAAAAATGTTATACACTGTAACTTCATGAGTAAAAAGTTTGAAATGTAAACAGCAAAAAACAAGATATGTTATTTATTTGTGGGGAAACACTAACATTAACCCCTCAATTTTAAAAATTCTTTTTATAGTGGCGGTCTGTAAACAGCAAAAAACAAGATATGTTATTTATTTGTGGGGAAACACTAACATTAACCCCTCAATTTTAAAAATTCTTTTTATAGTGGCGGCAACATACTCCTCTGTGGGAGGAATTTTAATGTGACAGACAGTATCATTATTTCAGATGACCAGAGAACAGATATTACTGTAAGTCTTGAACTTCTTTGCAATAACAAAATATGTGTTTTTAAAGGAATCGCTTTTGTTCTTAAGCTCTTTCAAAAGCTTACACACGTGCTTAACTTTACTCATGTGAGTAGTCCAATTGGACTACTCATATCAGTAAAATTATGTATGTACTAAAAAATTTGCAGAATCAAGGTTTAAAATAGTTAGTTCCCACGCATAATACTCCAAGGCCTCAAAGTTCTAAAGATTCTGTTTTCCTGTTTCTTCACTTCCTGAAAGGCCTTGCACTGCAGCAATCTTCTTCATCATCAACATAGATGCAGACTTAGAGGAGAGCATAGCAGGCACTCTGACTGGTGCTTAAAAGATCAAAAATGACCAGTACAGAAAACCACATTTATTTAAGACCAATAGTCTTTGCACTATATTTGAAGTTTATCGGTTTCCCATGTGATTTCTGCAGGATTTTGAAATGCGTTGAGAGCCTTAGTTTCTCACTGTAAAGTTCTTGAAAAACTTCAGCACTGACACTTTTGCTGTTTATCCTAGATCTTTGGATGTTCTGGAAAAAGTTCATGTAGTTTCCAATCACCAGCTTTACTATCTTTTAAAAGTCTTAAAATTGTTAATGTGTCACTAAAAGTGGAAAATGTCCTTATACCTTGTATGAAGTTACAATATCATCCTGATCCAGTATTTATTGAATATCAACTCCATACTGAGATGGACCCCCATCTGGAATTAAAATTATATGTAAGTTTTTAAAAATATCAAACAAAAATTCACACGTGATAGTTTTAAGTTTTACTACATTTAATAACAGTTTCCTATTTCAATTGTTCTCTTCAGAAAAAAAATGACATCTTAGATATTTCTGAAAATGAGATTAAAGTTACTCTCTCACACATGAATGGCGCAGTTTTAGAAACTATAAACTTCACAGTTCAAAATATTACCAGAACCACAGATCGTAGTACTATACTGTGCAAAGCTGAAAGGAAAAAACTGGGAAAGATTGAGTTATCCACAGTGAAAGTTTATGTGAGTAAAAATTCTGTAGTAATTTACCATTGTTTGTTTTTAATGCTTCTAAAATAGGTCTCAAGATGTTAATTAGCTGATTGTAGATATCCTTTATAATTAAAAACTGAATTAGCATGATACCATATCTTACCTAAAATATTTCACAGACAGGTTATCTTGCTGTGACATTGCACACATTCAGGTTTAGGTGAACTTGAAAGACCATGTGTCTCTGATGAGCTATATGAGAACTTCAAGGCCTGTGAACTCATCACAGTGTCTCATGGGACTAAGTTCGGCCTCCCTCAAGCCTCCCGGGAGCAGAAACAATGCCGAAGGCAAGGTGCACGCTTTGTGCCACCTTCAGTGTGCACTTAGTAGAACTGTAAACGTGAAGCTCTATTAGCTGAAGAAATTTCCCATGGGAGATAATGAATGCTGGGGCGGGGCTAGAGAGCTGTGAGCCTCTGTAAGAGCAAGGAAAGGATCAAGGTTTGGTGCAAGGCCTCCATCAGAACTGTTTTCCTTTGGTGTTGATTTGATGTTGTTATTGTCTTTCTGCTAATCAGGGAGGGATATCTGTAATGAAAAGTGGAATAAAATTGTCACAACCATATATACCAAAGGATACAATTAAAAAAATGAACAAATATGAAAAGGCCAAATCAAATTTCAGAACAGAAGGGGGATGGGGGGGGAGGTAAATGTCTGTGAGCTAATGATATTAGAGGATTATCTTACCCATTACAAAGATAGCTTCCCCAATTATCACCTCTAATATCATTAGCTCACTGACATTTACCTCCCCCCCCATCTCCCTTCTGTTCTGAAATTTGATTTGGCCTTTTCATATGTGTTCATTTTTTAATTGTATCCTTTGGTATATATAGTTGTGACAATTTTCTTCTACTATTTTGATCTGAGGAAGTGGGTCTGGTCCACGAAAGCTCATCACCTAATAAACCATCTTGTTAGTCTTTAAAGTGCTACATAGTCCTGTTTTTTGTTTCAGCTACACCAGACTAATGCGGCTACATTTCTATCACTATTGTAATGAAAAGAGCAGTTTTGGTTTGTGAAAGCTTGTTTTCACTCTCTTGAAAATGCCAGCAATTTTGTTTGCAGTGATCTGGTGAGTGTAGATATTTGGCTGCCCTGAGGCCAAAATCTGCCTTTGCTTATATCACATTAATTTCAGTGTGGCTAGTTTGAGGTAGAAGTGATGGCAGCATTTTGGCTTGTTGTCAGTGGTTTGACATTTTTTCCCACAAGATAGTTCTGTTCTTTTGGTTTAACATCAGATACAATAAATGTTACGTTTGGAACAGTTTATACATGTATTTCCAAACTGCTTCTTCCTTCCCATTGATTTACATGGTCTGGGTTCATCACTTCATCTAAAGAGACAGGTTACTTTATTCATTGACCGTGGCTTTTGCAAACATGGAATAGAGTACAGTAGTTGGAGTCCACTAATACAGCTGTATATTTTTCCATTAGGTCAGCTTAGGAAACTTTATGCAGGAAGTTGAAAAGAAATCATTGCACAAGTACTTGTATGTTCTTACTTTGCTACCTATCTTATTACTGGGTGTAATTGTTGGTAAGTACTGTTATGTATTATTAGTTTTTGATTATGCTGAAAGAGATAGTTACTGTATATACCTTAAAAGTGTCTGGGATTGCACAGGATGATCACAGAAAGTCTGATATTTTTTCCAGGTTCAGCTGGGAACAGTTAGGTAGATTTTTTGCTTGTTGGTGAAGTTCATCTTCACAGACTACAAGATGTAACAAGGCTATTTCAGTAGTCAGTTTTTCCAGGAAATGCATCGTTCAAGATCTAGGAACTACCGTCGCAATCCTCAAAGATCTTTAGGTGCCTGATTCCCATTGAAATCAGAGGGAGTTGGGTACCTATATACCTCTGGCGATCTGGGCCTATATTCCTACATCATAAGTTAGCGCCTTCCCACTTGTCAAAACAAAGCTCCCGAAGGACAAATGTTCCCAGGACAGTTGCTTAACTTCAAACAATGGTTATGATATAATCCCATTTTAGACACTTCCTGCCTTTAATTGGTTGTAGGTTGTTTGGTCAGTTGTTTATTTTTTCCAACCATTTTTTCAGTATTTTAATTTTGCCATACCTTTACTCAGCCATGTTTTTGGAGCAAGAGGCATGTCTCAGCCTTTACTGCAACTGTTGTCAATACCTCTCCTCTCTCACAAGTGTTAACTAAGCAATTTGGAAATACATGTGCCAACTTAAAATATTTTTCTTTCTTGTAAAATCAGTCAAGTTTGAGGAGTGCTATCCCACTGTCTTGTCAGATGCTTCTGCTTAGTATGCAGATTTGAGTGTATCTGTTTAAAAAAAAAAAAAGTCAGCCTGATCAATCTGAAATCTAAATAAAAGGAGCATGCTCATAAAAAATGCCTTGCACAATGGGATCCTATTGTGAGCAGACTGTGGGGTAAGCAGTCAAGCCTAGTGGAGTCAGGTTTGGTGGTCGGAGTCTGAAAGCCAAAGTTAAGAGCCAAGAGTTAAGACAAGATATGAATTAGGACCTAGGGCCGAAGGCCATAACACACGTTAGAGTCCAAAAGGGTTGAGACAGAGTTGGAGTCAGAAGTCAGTGCCAACGGTTGGAACCAGATGACCAGATATCAGGGAAGACAGGAGCAGGGCTGGTTCTGAGGCAGGAGCAAAGCTGGGACAGGATAGGAACAAGGTTGGGTACAGGCCAAGGTCTGGGCTAAAGCTATAGAGGAGCAGAGCAGGAACAGGGTGTGGCAAGAGATGAAGCAGAGAATTAGTGGTAAGAGGTGAAGCAGAGAACATCTTTTCAAGCTCATATTGAAAGCTTTAATTGTGAAGATAATTTTGTGTTATTTAAACTAACATTCCAAGGGGTTGTTATTTCAGGATTTGCAGAACTACAGATGGGATCAGTTAGATGTTTTATTGTTAGTATTGGTATATAAAGTAGATTTGTTTGGCATACAGGCAGTCCCCGGGTTACATGGATCCGACTTACATCGGATCCCTACTTACAAACGGGGTGAGGCAACCCCGCACTAGCTGCTTCCCCCCAGCAGACCAGGGAGACGCGAAGCTAGCGCTCCCCCCCCCCAGCAGACCAGGAAGACGCAGAGCGGCTTTTCTCAGCAGACACCTCAGCTTGAGAATAAAGGACTGAGGGAAGTGAGGGGTGGGAGAATAAAACTGAGCTCTGGAGAAATGTTTGGCTAGAGTTTCCCCTACAATATGTACCAGTTCCAACTTACATACAAATTCAACTTAAGAACAAACCTACAGTCCCTATCTTGTACGTAACCCGGGGACTGCCTGTATTTCAATATTCAGTAGCTAATGCAATTTTCTCTCTTTTTTTTAAAGTGGCAATCGTAGTAACTAGGTATAAATCCAAACAGTTAACTCGTAAAATGAGTCAACAAATCGAACTGTTAGAATGGGACATTCGAAAGAAAATACGTGATGGTAGGTCTGCACAGCTTTCTTTTGTTTTAAGAGATTCGCATTTTTAAAATCTTTTGTTTCATAGGCTCCATTAAACGGAAATAGAATAGTTTGTAATGTGAATATCCGAGTTCCTTGTTAATGTTGGTGTTTAGTAGAAGCTAATAGCATTACATGTAACAGTGTACTTCAGCAAAACTGGAGATTAAAAAAATGCATCCAATCATGGATTTCCATGCCACAGAAATTCAGCTAGAAAAATAATACATCGTCTTAAAATTGCTTTTAAGAACATCTTTTCAAGACCATATTGAAAGCTTTAATTGTGAAGATAATTTTGTGTTATTTAAACTAACATTCCAAGGGGTTGTTATTTCAGGATTTGCAGAACTACAGATGGATCAGTTAGATGTGGTGGATAATTTTGGAACAGTTCCCTTCCTCGACTACAAACATTTTGCTCTTAGAACTTTCTTCCCAGAGGTAAATGATTGCTAGTCTTTTAGGTGTAATCCTTCCACAGTAATGAAGGTAATTGTCAAGTAAAGACCAAATAGCTTGTATAAGTACCACCCTGTAATTGTATATGATTTTCTCAGGAAACCTTGTACAGGCAGTCCCCTCCGCCTCCCCGGCTTTGCTCCCGGTGCCTCTGGTCTGCTGGGGACCGTCTCCAGCAGACCAGGGACACTGGGAGCAAAG